GTGGGTCCTCACTGGGGACGACATCTGGAGGAAAACTAAACTTCTCCTGTTTGCACAGAAGGAGTTTGCTGCAAAGCAGCGGCAGCTTGGCTCCATTGAAGGCGGACGCATCACGGATGTTTCTCAGTTGAGGACGGAGATGCAGATTAACGGTTCTGGACGGCTCTGTTACGGGAGTAAAGATTAAGGGTTTTTCACTCCTAAACCTTTTCCTGCATGTGTTCTACTCTTCAGATAAAAACTGGCGACTAAAAGACAACAGGAACACTACAGCAACGTTCTGGTCGCAGCAACAGGGAATAAAATCCCTTCAGTCCCAACTAGTGGCCTGCTGTGACCTCTGACCTGTGACCTTAATCCTACTGAGCATCTTTGGAAGGGGCTGAAACATCTGGAAAAGGTTCCTAACCGACATCTGGAGTGGAGGAGACCCGGCTGACGGGAACCGTTTGTCTTGTTTTATGAGTTTATTTTTTAAATGTTGAACGATGTTTGAAAAGAAATGTCTGACTTTAATAAACTAAATTCATTATTACGTTTGTCAGATTCAAGTTGTTTCTGTTTTTTACATGTGTAATTACTGAGAAATGTGGATTATTAAATGTGAAGCTGCTAATGAAGGAAAAAATGGCTGAAATATGGAAAGATAATTGGCTTCAAAGATTTGGCGTTTTTTGGTGAAACATTAAAAGTCATGCATCCAAATGTCTTAAAACAGATTTATAGAATAAATTGGAAACAACTAAACATTTGTTTAATGAACGTAAAGAATAACTAAATTTATGGGAACTATTTCATAACTTTCTGTTTTCTAAAGCCATAAATGTGGATTTTGTTTTAACACCAAATATTCAGTTTGGTTTATTTCTAGTGAATTATTGTAACAAAATATGATATCCATACATGTCAATATGCAAAACGCTCGGCTCATTCGCTGCTTTCAAACACAAACTTTCCTTTTCAAAACAAATCTGATCAGAAACGCAGCACAGTTAACAGAGTTAATGGAAACGATTAGTTTCTAAAAATATGCTTTTATTTGATTTTTATTCATTTTACTGCTTTGTTTCATTTTTATTTGTTTTCTGTTATTGACCATTTGATGTTTTCTTTGTGTATTCAATAAATACATAAAAAACGTTCACTGCAGCAGAATGACGTCACCGGGTCTCACTGCGCCTGATTACGTCATACTGATGAATTTATTAGAATTGTAGGAAATATTGATAGTTGATCAGTTTTCTCTCCGGTCCGAAGTCTCGACTTTTAACTTCAGGTTCGGATTTTTCTCTTCATACAACCCGGACCAGGACCAGAACCAGAACCGGGCTGTTCACTGTTCATCAGTGAACAGCCCGGTTCTGGTTCCAGCAGCTGGAAGCAGGAGGAGGAAACACTGTAAACAACCCAGTTTTGGTTCTGGTCGCTTTCAGTCTCTCTGCAAGAGGAGTTGATGCTCAGCAGAACCATCTGCGGGTTGAGGATCCAGAACACCCGAAATGGACCTGATTATAACCCACCTGAAGGTTTCGAACCCGACCGGAAGTCCTCCCCTGACCGTCAGCCTGCAAGAAACCAGGTGATTCGCTTTTGATCGCAGTTGCTAAGTCCAAGCGCACGCGCAGAGAAGCACCGCAAACCGATGCCGAACATTCAGAATCGATCCGCAGAGTTCGGAACCGGCGGTTCCTTCTCCGTCCTGCTGTTTTCTTCTCACCGTCCCGGATCTGCGGGGCGGTGTCGCCCTCTGCAGGCCGGAAACGGTAAGGCTGAAGTTCATGTAAGTTCTGCTCCCTGACCAGAACTTAGTACACCTCGCGAAAATGGACCTCGCTGCAGCAAACAGGAAGGGGCGGGACGGACCACTGTCAGTCTCAGGCCTTGTTTGGAAATGGTACCATTGTACTCCGGAAGTGAAGGGGGCGCTATTTCCTATATTATCCGCGGTCTTCCGTTTAAATTTTTTTTTGAAATCTGTGATATATCTTCATCTGTAGGGAGTTTCACTCTCACCACGTATTTGAATTTTTCTCTTTTATTTACTTCAGCGCAGCTCACAGTTTTTAACAAATTCTGTAGATTTTGGTGTACTTCTATCTCTGCTCCTTAATGTTGTAAAAGATAAATTCCCTCACTTTTGTGAGAACATACCTTTTCATTTTCTTAAGGAAGTAGAGCTAATTAAATGACATAAACAAGACCTGAAAGTTATTCCAGTTTCACTTGATGGAATATCTTCTTATTTTAATAGGCTTTTATTTTGAAATTATACATCAGATCAGGTTGAGATTTGCTGGTTGTGTCTAGAGGTGTCCCTCTTTTTAGCATTGCTGAATGTCTCCAACAATTCAAAACCTCCTCCCCACCCCATTGTTTGAAAAGGGATGCGGGTTGGAGTCCCCCCTACCCCCCTCTCTGCTGTTTTTATTTTTTATCTTATTTATTTATTTATTTATTTATTTATTTATTTTTGTTTCGACTCGGCGGGAATTTTAATATTTTTGATTGTTTATTCTAAGTTACAGGCTTATGTTCCCTGAAAGCACCTTTTAAATAAAATATATAATTATTATTATAAATACTCATACTGCTTCAAATAAGGACGTTGCCATGGTTACTGCTTCACGTGGTGGCAGACTTCCGGGTATTTGTACTAATTTACATTCATATGTGGAGGCGACAGGTTGGACCAGCAGCTGCTCTATTTCCCGCAAATTAGGATTTATAAAGAAAAGGTGCGCGGCAACGTGCGTGCGCACGGCTTTATGCATCCCAATTTTTTGTGCGCAGCACTTTTCTAAAATTTTCCGTACGCCAAGTTTTAGTGTGAAAACTGTGTATTCTTTTATGCATCAGGCCCCAGATCTCACCGGAGCGTTTTTCTTTCCCCTCGTTGGCGTTTCCTGGGTCCAGGCTCCGATCCAGTTTCTAAATGCACAATCGGCGCTGGGGCGAACTTTGATTGCTGTTTTATGTCTTTTCTTTGATTTTTTTTTTTTTTTTTTTTTTTTTTTTTTTTTTTAAAAATTAAACAAAGTCAATTTTGCCGCTGCACAATTTTGCGTGGGGGCCCCCCGCCGCCCTT